ATTTTATTCAAATGTAGCCAAATAAGGGATAAAATACAAAACATGGCAAACCTTAAGAATTATTCACAATGAGATATTAACTTTCCAAAATTTTTTTTGGCCTTACGACCTCTGAGAATCAATACATTTCTGAAAGCTCTTATGAATGGTACAATTATGTTTAGATTTGAACCCAAATTACAATAACAAAACTGCATAGAATATTAGGCTTGTTCACACATCGCCTCGTAGTCATAACATAAGCGGAGGGATACACCGGAAATTTTCTAAATTTCTTCCGGTTTAAGGACGCTTGTTATTGTTTACATTAGACCACCCATCCATAAAAGTTCGACGTGAATCAGACTGCAAGATAAACCTGGACTCGTCAGCAAACTTTACACAAGCCCACTGTGGCGATCTCCACAATGCATGTTCAAACAAGGTGGCCAAATAGCAGCCTTGTTCAGGATTGTTCACATCCTTCTCCCAAAAATAGCGAAATAGTATCGTTGGATACCACGTGATGAAGGCGGAGCCAAGTGCCAACTCCTGGTGAACGAACTATACGTTTATTCGATGAAAATATTGTTCGATGATATATTTATTCGTTTTTTTTTTATTTAATTTTTTGTGTCTTATTTTATAACGTAATAGCTAGCGCTAGAGGGCCGGGATAGCCTGATTGGTAGGGCACTGGGAGCATGTCCAAGAGTTCGTGGGTTCGATCCCAGGCCGGCCGAAGGCTCCCCGTGTAGTAAATGGTGATTGATGCATGTTAAATCTGTCGAGTCGCAAAGTCATCCATGTTCCCATAACAAAACAATATCTCTGGGGGTACTGATCCAGGAGTTTCCTTATCTTCTGGATCAGTTTAAAATTACAAGACTACGGAGTTGAACATTAGTAGTCGTAAACACAAAATTGGGTCGGCTGTTCAACGACGGTTATAAAACAAAAAACAAAATAGCTAGCGCTGATTTATTAGCTTATCTAAGATCAACCTTTTAAAACATCAAGGTTGGATTAAAATCCGATCATGAGAACAAAAACTATTCAGGTTGATACCTTTCTTTTTTCTTTTTTTTTAATTATCTTGGTATAACAATTTTTTAATTATTTATTCATCTACCTATTATATACAGGGTGTTCTGGGACCGTTTTAATATTTATTTTAACCATCATTCTAAAATATTGAGCAAAAGAAAATCAGCACAAGCGTCACAAATTAATATTTAAACTGAGTAGAAACAGAAATGCTATCATAATCATATCAAAATTTGTCGAACCACTAGCGACGAAAGCTGGTGGAAAATATCCAAATTACTTTTATTGCTTGATGAAATCAGATCCTCTGACAATCAAACTGGTTTTGGTGTTCCTAGTCCCAACTTCCATCTTAGTAATTCGTTTGATTTTGATAGCTTTTATATTTTTTCTCGCTTCCATTTTTTACTTCATTTTTGATAAGATTTCTTAAAATATATACAATGGGTGATAGTTAGGAGACACCCGATATACAGTATTTGAAGAATTTGAATTAAATCTACACATTAAATTTTTCAGCTTTCATCAGAAAAGTATATGCCATACTGATGGTTCAACTGGCGATTACGACAGCATTCATATGTCTCTTTCTTTTCGAGTAAGTTTTTCACATATGCATGTTTCAAATAGTGTTACATATATGATATGTTGTTTAACATGGCGTTCATGGTCGAGTTTTTTGGCTCGCAGAAAATCAAGCAGTGTCGATAGAAGACTGCCTTAATTAAGACATATTAGAGCATAAAATCACACACTAATATCGATCTGCTAGAGCAGTGTTTCCCAAAGTGTGGTACGCGTACCCCCAGGGATACGGGAACAGTTTAGCGGGGGTACGCGTTCTTATGCGAAATATCTTGCAACAAACGAAAATTTCAAAATTTTTTATTTAAAAGCAAAACTAGCCATGAAAATTTACGATTACGTACTTTTCTATTGGCTATTATTTGCAGAATTAACAGTTAATAATTAGTGGTGTCAACAGCCAGTTGTAATTTTTAACTTTTGTGCAATTTTTTACAGTAAAAAATGCATTCATTGTTTTTATTAGTGGTACACAGCGTTACGAAAAATTCAGAAAGGGTACACAAAAGTAATAAGTTTGGGAAACACTGCGCTAGAGTTTAATGGTAGGGAAAGTCTCTCAAGATTTTCCCCACTGTCTCTTACGTCACACGCAAAAAGGGAAGCATTATCAATTATATTTGGTCGAGGGATTACTAAGGTTCTCACGTTTGATTAAGGGAAAAACTTAAAATCGTAAGCTCCGCATTCTTTTATCTATTTCTTAGAACAGAATGTGAATTATTAATTATGTGAATGGGTTTTGTTTTGAATAATGAATTAAGAAAGAGAATTTAGGTAAGGAAATAATATAAAAAGATTTATTAAGAAAACCTTATCCATATTAGTTTTGTCTTCATATTTATGATTATTGCCATCTTTGACCGACACTTAACCAAATAATAGGTCAAAGTTTTCACTGAAAATGCAATGTTCTTGGTTATCAAGATGTATAAAATAAATTACATGACGTAAACATTTCTTTTTGTAACCATGTTAACTTCATTATATACTTGGAATCTGAATAATAACTTATTATATTGATAATAATATCGTAAATATGTACCACAGATGAAATTAGTGAAAGTTCAGAGTATACAGCAAAAGAAATGCCCTTAAACGAAATTGTTTTATCGCTAAGCAAGTTTCAGTTATCATGGTAATGAGAACTGTTGCTGAAACTAATACTGCTTAAAGAATTATCAAAAATTTTCGAACTAATATCTTTTCAAACTATCGCTAATTGCCATTTTACGTCAGAAAACATGTGTGGCGCCACACACGTTTTCACCAATTAATAGTCACCCCAATTCACGGTAACCATAAATAAAATCTTAACCATAATAACCAAAACTATAAATAAAATCTTAAACCATAAATAAAATCTTATGACTTTTCTCTTAATGTTAAAAAAGTCGGCAAAATCTACCTTAACAATTTTCGGCAAAAGAAATTACATTGCAGTATAAAATATACATCTTTTATAATTCTGACATATTTTTTTTTCAATCCGGTATTTAGTAGCTTTATTGTAATTTCTTTCAGAATTATCCGATCTTTCAGAATTATTCGTCAAGTTAAGATTTTCGCTTGAAAAGTGGGGTTTTGCGCTATTTTGAAGTCAAGTATTTGCATATTTAAATCAATGAACGACGAGTCTTAATTTAATGCAAAATAAAATATGACTCTTCACTAAAATGATACAAAACTGGAAGTGAAAAATAAATAAAATGAGAAATATTTAATTTTTGGTCTAATGATATTAAATTTCTAAGGGCAGAATTTTTTTAAAATAGCAATTTCTTATAATACCAATGAAAAGTTTATAAATAATCAATGCAATAAATTAAAATATAAATGAATAAAACTGTATTTAAAAGGATTTTTTTTTAAATTTTTATGTCAAATTATTTCATGTTTCATAGTAATTATGTTAAAAATGGAGAACGTAATATCTCATCACTAGGAGGCTCCGCCCCCTGCTCGCTAACACTCGCCAACCCCTGAGAATTGCTAAGCAATCCTATGTGGTTCACGCCGTGAACCATGACTCGCTGCGCTCGCTCGCCAATGAACACAATGTTCTAGCACAAAGACATAATATATTATCATCAAAGACATAGTATTGTACTTATGTAGAAGAATTCTCCCAATGTTCTTATTGGCTTTTAAAAAAGTATATTAGCTATTTAAATTGTACATGGTGAAAAAATCAAAACATTAGCTAAATAAGAAACATATTAGCAAAATAAATTATCAAATATTGCTTCACTAATGTTCTGCATTTTAAAGCGTGAAAATTCAATGCATAAATAAACGCGAAATATAAAAAAATTCAACGCATTCAATAAAACGTTTTTTAGACGTTTAGGTAGCTCCCAGTAGAAAAATATCAATTCAACAGCGGCCTTTTAAAGCATTCTCACTTCAATTAATTAATTAATTCCTAATTGAGTTTAAATTAAATATTGTCATGTTTTTAGTGCATGAATCTGAATTGAACAACCTGATAATGCTCACTCTGGTTATTGTTATCTGGTTGCTCACTACGTGCTCTTGCGCGCCGAATCCAATCAATTAAAAATGAAAACTGTTGCCAGCGCGAGAAAAGAAATATCATCGGTTTTATTGATACATACATACATACATACGTACGTATTAGCGTTTTATATAATATAGATAGATTATTATGTTGATGATTAACTGGTCATTTTTAAGAATTTAATGAGTTTTTTTTAAAAATTAACTACGTCCCACGAACGAAGAGAGTTTTCAAGAAAAATTTCGGCAATTATTGCCATTCTATAACATTACTCTTAATGCATATTGTCACTTTTTTCCCTGCTACATGGCGATATTGAGGTGATTTTTAGAATTTAAATTCAATTTATTGCTTACTAGTTGCACAAGTTTATATTAGGAATATAACTCAAACTAAAATGTTTGAATTGAAATGAATGAATTAAATTTATTGAATTGATATTTTTGAATATTTGAATCTTGATGTGATATTTCACATTTTGCAACAATATGAATGTTTTATCATTTCGCATAATGTTGTAAAAATATGACAAATCATTTTTTCAATACATTTTTACTTTATAAAGTAATTTTTTTATTATTTTTTATGTGCTTAAAATTATGGGTTATAATGTATTAGCAATTTTACTTTTCTATTTGGAGGTGTTGATATATAAAGAATTGACAAATTTTTCTTTTTTCCCAGTTAAATTTAAGGCAAAGGAGAAAAAAAAAAGAAAGATTTAACTAATAAAAAACCTCAAACACAAATAAATTATATAATCAGCCAAAAATAAAAAAATAATAATAATAAATAAATGAAATAAAATCTGTTGATAGTTTGGGTTAGAAAAATATTAATTTTTCAAATGACTACAGTATCAGTGAAAGATTAACTTTAACGATTATGATGATGATGGATTGTCTGTACAATTGAAGTTAATGAAGTTGTTGTAGTTCATTTACGGCACACTACAGCTGCACAATGGGCTATTGGCGACGGTCTGGGAAACATCCCCGAGGATGATCCGAAGACTTGCCATCACAATTTTGATCCTCTTCAGAGGGAATGACACCCCCGCTTCGGTAGCCCGACGACCTGCACGCGAAGTCGAGCACTTTACGGTAGAACAGTTTAACGAGGACCAATACAGCACACCCTTGGTCCCTACGCAGACCTGATCCAAGTGGTCACCCACCCGCACACTGACCGCAGCCATTGATGCTTGACTTCGGTGATCTGCTGGGAACCGTGTTTTTAACGATCAGCCCACTGCGGGTTGAAGTTAATGAAACTGTTGATTTATCTTAAGTCTGATGATTCTGCCTTATCTACTATTCTGATGATTAAAACTTTTAACTGTTAACTTTTTTCTGATATCTTACATCACGAAAACTTGGAAACTGAAAACACACCTAATGCAATAGGATGTAAATATCACTGTGCTTTATTTCCTCTGTAAAATTTAAAAATGAACGTTTTCGAATCGGAAATCATACAAATTGTTTAGCTTAGAATACAAATCATACAAATAGTTAGCTTCATACAAATTGTTTAACTTAACTTGGCTCAAACTTTGAAATTTCAAATTAGCTATTGTGTAATTATTCGCTTCATTTTTAACTTCTAAATAAAAAATGTACAATTTTAAATTTTGTGTATTTTTGTGTAAATGCTTATAAAAAAAATTGTAAGAGTAGTTTTTTTATGATCCCTAATATTTCCAAAAGCCTGGATTTAACGATTAAAATTTTCGATCGCAATAAATTTATTAAATTGAGATTTGGCTATATTTTATTTTATAAAACAATTTTGCGAATAGTTTTATTAGTTGTTTCCATAAATCATAATTTTTGAAAATGACCATTATTAATATGAAATTCCTGAGTTCTTTGTGTGTTTTCCTATTCTGTCTATATCTCATTCCTGCTAATAAAACGTTCGTTTATTTTTTCTTTTTTTGCAGGCCTAGAGTCAAAGAATATTCTCATCAGCATCCTGAGATGTTTTGGATTGCATTGTAGGTTTTATTTTTTTCCCTCCTCATACTTTTATGAGTGATTAGATGACAATCATTTTTTTTTTCTTCTCCCAAAATAAAATAGTCATTTCCTGGCCGATCTTTACTTTCTGTTGTTTTGTCATGTTAGAAAGTAGGCCTCGATTTAATTAGAATTCTTATGTTCGTGAATCATAAAGCATGACTTTAAAAGTTTCATAAAGTTTCTTCCTAAAAGAATAATAATAATAGATGTTTTTTTTTCTAATAGTTGAATTGGTTTGTAAATGATTGTGCACGATATAAATAGTTAAATCAATAGGGAGATTTTTCGTAGCGTTTTTCTTGGGTTAACACACCCCTACCGCGCAATTGTTAGGTGAGTTTTCGTGCATAAAGCTAAAATAACGCCGATGGGAAATCGTAAAGCTATGCAAATTCTTTCAAATTAGTAGAAACATTTTCGTAGCTAAAGCATTTAGTGCGGATATATATAATGCATCCATACCTTAAGGAAAAAATGAACTGCAAATCAAGCAAAACTTTCTGGAGAGCCGTGCTGCCTCAGGGGCTAGAGCGCTTGCCTCCCAATAAGTTGATCCAGGGTCGAATCTCAGAAATGGCTGGTTGATACGAATTCCGCACCCGACTCGCGACGACCACAAGGCTGACCTAAAATATTGTCAGTGGTAAACGGATCAGGGGTGAGACAAAGCTTGTCGTTAGGCTAACTGTAGGGGTTTTCGTGGTTTTCCCCTCAATGTAACACAAATGCGGGTTCCATCAAAAGTTCCTCCACGAAGGGAAATTTCTCCGTATACTTAATCCAAGAGTTTTCTCTTCTGGATTGGGTCTAAAATTACAAGGCTACGGAGTTGAACATAGGTAGTATTAAGCACCAAATTGGGTCGAAGGTATCAATTATTTCTGGAATGGTGCTTATCTAGAACCTTATTTTCTCCATTTATAATCAACTTTTCCATTTAAAAAAAAACGTAAAAGAAAGTAGATATAAAAAGCGAATAAAAATTTTTTGTTTCATGGCTGTACAGTTCAGATTTGGTATGGTAGCTATTTCTGCCATTTTTAATAAATCCTTCCACTTCTTCACCAGTTTGATTATAACCGTTCAGTAATGCCTGATAATTTTCGTCTGACCAAGGCCGACCCTAGGTTTAAAAGCACCCCCTGGCAGTGCCGGATTACCCATTTGGCCAGACTGGGCCATGGCCCGGGGCCCCCTTAAAATGGTTTTTTTGAAAATGAATTTTAAAAAATTAAGAAAAACAATGATTTTTTTTGAAAAAAAATCTATTTCGAATATATAAAAAAATTTCAAAATGTTATGATTATTTTTTAGTTCTAATTTAACGAAATAAAATAAAATTTAATCTATCATTATTTATTTTTATTTTAAATACGCTTTCTTAAATGAAAAGATATATAAAAAATATGCGAGAAAAACAACTTAATCGATGGGCCCAAAAATTTGAATCTCCTAGGGCCCCGCCTACGCTTAATCCGGCGCTGCCCCCTGACAAACATAATTAATTTGAAAACTAAGTATTTCTAAATATCATAGTTAACAAATGAGCATATTAATTTCAGGAGCAAATTTAAATTAAACATTAAACTAAAATATTCTTCTTTTTTTTTCAATGTATTTAAAGTTAAATAAATTCCATTTTTATTAAAATATAAATATTTTGTAACTTGTTATAAAAATTAAGTTCCGTTTCTACTGTGCTTTTTTAGAGGTTTTACATTTGTTTTGATGATTGTATTAGCCTGTTGTGAAAAGGTTAGAAGGAGTTTTCCAGCTAATTTCATCTGTTTGTTTCTTTTTGTAAGTATATTTATATATATATTTTTATAATGAATATTGAATATTGCCTAAAGTATATTATAAATCTTTATTCGTCGCTGTTGAATATATAGAGTGTCTTAAATTAGAATGAAGGTTTTTAAAAATTTATAACTAGAAAACCACTAAGGTTAAGGGGAAGAAAAGGTTTGTAGCAGCTTCATGCGACAAGAAAAAATTTTTGCATCTCAAAGTTTTTATTCTAGTTGCGAAATTGTTTCGACAGATGACGCTGTATACCTGTTAAATAAGAACGATCAATTAAACATCAAAACAGAATTTTTCGAAATCTTTCAGAGAATGAAAAAAACATTAAGACGTTTTGGAAATGGCCAGCATTGGCCACGATCACACATCGTTTTAAGAAAACATAATTTTCTAACATCAGATCATTACGGAAAAAATTGTAAAAGTGGCTTGCGCGGCGCCCTCTGTTGAAAAACTTGAAAAAAAAATAAAGAACTGCAGATGTTGCCACATAAGCAGCATTTTTTTTTATATATATATACTTCTAACCATCACAATTTTCTTGTTAAAATTTTTAAAAACCATCAATCTGATATAGGTCACTCTGTTTACTGAGATAAGAATTTTTAACATGCATCATCGTTATATTCATTTAGTTATAGAAAGACAAATGAAATTTTCGTTTAGTTAAGTTTTATTTTTAACTTTCTAACCTATATTTCTCTGCAAATGAAATTTTTCTGTTGGATAACAGAAGTCAATCACATGAATGTGAGGGGATATTTCCGGGATCGTGATCTGACAAGGCAGCTATAATCGCCAAGGCCCCAAATGGATTTTAAAATGGTAATTTTTTTTAAAAAAAATAGAACGTGTCTAAGTTTGCCTGGGGGAGGGGGCTATTTTACCCTTGGTTTTTTAACGACTCGTTTTTTTTAAAAATATTTTTCTCTTGGCTGTAGTTAGGTGCAATTATAATGCAAGCCTTTATTTCTTTTAAAATGTGCTACCTGAACTTTAAAAAAAAAGTCATTTAATGAAATGTCAAACAGGAGAACGGGTCGTTAAAGGCCGCTTGATTGGAAAATCGCGCCTGAAGGTGGCTAAGACTTTATACCCTTTGAATTAGTACCCTTCTGTGATGATGTTTCTTGTAGTTTCTCGCGGGCCACACACCGAAAGATGCTTGCCAAGACTAGCGATTATACTGCCGTGGATCACGATATGGAAATTTTCCCAGTGTCAAATTTAAAATTATTACAACCTATTTATTATCTAGATAAAACTGAAATATATTGCTAATAACTTCTATTAGGTTAATTAATTATTAAGGATGCTTTCACTTTCAAAATACAAACTCATTTTGTTTATTTGTAATTTTTTTTTTCCAACCATGAAATAAAAATCCATTTTATTCCATTTTTAACATGGAAAACCAGGGGGATTTTTCTAAATTATTTTACCGCGATTGACTTCGATAATAATTCATCACTTTTTTTTTTTTGTAAGATTAATATATTTTCACTTTTAATTTTTTGTTTTAAGCTCCTGATCAGTAGACTTTAATCACTTTATTTTTGACAATGATTCAAATAAAAATTAAAAAGGATGGTAATTATAGAGCTATGTATAAAAAAAAAAAAAACATGCTTATAAAATATAAATTTAACTGGGTATTTTTTATATACAACTATTTTTATCTATGCATATCCATTTTATATAAAACGTTTAAAGCAAAACTTCATGCATTTTTGTATATTTTTATTTTCAGACATTTTTTCAATCATTTTTATTAGGCTCAGCAGCAAGGTATGTAATAGTTTTGATCATTTATATTTGCTAAATTTTATGTAGCATTGTGATTTATTATTTAATTGGATACTTGCAACTCGAGAAAGAGTGAAGTGATTTTGCCTAACCCTGTGATTTGTATCAGATTTAATTGCATACCTGTATGTAACATCACGCGTGTGTGTCGAAGCAGATTGACTTTTGAAGTGGCAAATAGCACGATTTACCTACGATGACGTCACTTGCAGGTATCCAATTCTTTTCAATATCTAATGCCTTTAATAATTTATAAGCACGTAGCTTTATTATTTTTGCGAGTAAGTTTCGTTGAAAATAGCCTGCACCCCTTTTCAATCAATTGTGATAGCTACAAAAGTGTTTTTTTCTCCTAACTTACTGGTCGTACCAAGAATAAAATTTTTTATAACTACTATTTCACAAATCTATTGAAGGAAAACGAAAGGAGATGGAAATGTAGGGATTGCTGCGTTCTGCTTAGGAAACGAATTTTATAATCACCAGACTTCAAATTTCGTTGCGCAGTTCCTCATAGGCTGGTGCTATTGACTCAAAAACTATTAAACAATATTTTTTGATTCGTCAGAGCATCCTAGCTGAAATAGTTGAATATGTTTCTGTTTTGTGAACTTTGTAATTCGTTTTGAAACTTGAAAAAAAAAAAACAAATTATTTTCCTATTAGCAGAACGCAACATGAATCGTAATTTTCTGTTTTATTTCGGCTATTGTTTTATAATCGATTTTTTGAATAGTCTGTAGATTTTCGAACACAGTTTGATTGTGAAATTTGTAATTTTATTAATTATTTATAAAAATTTTTATTACATTAATAAAAAAATTTATGTATATACATATATTTTTTTAAAGAAAATGAGGATGTGCGTACTTAACTTCTTGCTTCTATGATGCTTTTTATCTTATAAATAAAATAATTCTTTGTAGCTTATGTAACAGCTTAAAATCTTGCAATCTACAATTTTCTTTAGAGAATACTTTTAAATAATGTGTAACCATAACGAATTTCTCAAAATTATTTGATTTTTTTAAAATTGCTAGCCTAATACCCATTCTTCGTATAAGGTAAAAAAAAATCGAAAATAACAGATTAACACTGCGCATTTATGTACGAAACTGAAAGGCATCATAAACCGAGCCAATTCAAACAAAATAAAAGCTTATTAACTTTATTTCTTATTATATGTTTTATTTTTTCCCGGTGGTTTTACGTTATTCGATTAAGATAAGGCGTTCAAATGATCAAAAACTCAGTATCATCAGGAACTGAAACAAATGCTATTAATCAGAAATAATACACTTAGAGGTGCACAATTTGCGGCCCTCCAGCTTTTGATTTGCGGCTCGCGGCAGCTATAAAAAAAAAAATATCGTAATTTTTGTGGAAAATAAATATCAGAAATTTTGAATTGCGTATTTAAGTTTATTTTGCACTAAATCTTTTTTTATTTTTTTTTATTTCCAATGAGTTGCACAATCGGTCTTGCCGATGAGCAGACCTAGTGCGTTCTCCAGAGGTGGTATCCACTCTTTCAGGACCACCACAATGGGTGAGATACCGTTGGTCATGTTAATTTGGACGTCTAGTTTCTGCCACACTAGATGGCAGCACCGAGACTCTATTTGGATGCTAAAGTGCACTAGGAATTTAATTTTGCCGGAAATTCCAAGAGGCACTAAATCTAAATGGATGTATTTTTTTGATTGCTTTTTTTCAGTGATTTCCAAAGTTTTAAAAATCCTGATATTTTAATTCGACAAAATTATGATACCTGAAGTACGAATTTTAGTAATCACCTTTGAAGTTATTTATTTGTTTGCAATTAATAGTCAATCTAAGTGACTTTCCGGTCGTGTTTTCGGGGGTTGTTATCGGATTTCCACATGTTTTTTTTTAATAATCAGGATCACCACTCGCGAGTTTCTAATTGTATAAAAAGTAATCACTTTTGACATGCTTTAGATGTGTCAATATGATCGTACTACTTTTTAAATACTCCATCTCTAGGTACTATTTCCCTATAAGTACGTTTATTTAAGTTCAACTCGTAACTAAGTTTCGACTCATTCCCGTTTTTCTAAGTATCCCATCGTTTCTCTAAATATTTTTTCTATTGTTTCTTCAGCACTTATTGCTGCTCATGATTTTGCAAATCCTGATACGTTTAATATGCATTAATACAGTGTTTCCCAAACTTATGACTTTTATGTACCCTTTCTAAATTGCTCGTAACGCTGTGTACCACTAATAAAAAATTTATTTTTTAATAAAAAAAATTGCTCAAAATTTAAAAATCACAACTAGCTGTTGACACCACTAATTATTAACTGTTAACTCTGCAGAAAAATAGCCAATAGAAAAATACGTAATTGTAAATTTTCATGGCTAGCTTTGTTTTTAAATAAAATTTTTTGAAATTTTCGTTTGTTGCAAGATATTTCGCATAAGAACGCGTACCACCGCCAAACTGCTCCCGTTCACCTGGGGGTACGCGTACCACAGTTTGGGAAACATTGCATTAATACGACATTCGAATCGCGCATTTAAATGTGCGCTTTTTTGTGCCGATTTCATTGCAAATCTAAGAGATTTTTTTTTTCGATCGTTGTTTTTAACAGTTTTTAACGCTTTTCCACTGGGTTTCGAAAATCTTGATTTTTTATTTATTTAACCGGTATTATAACTGCTTGGGATTTTCGATTCAAGCAGTTTAATCACCACCTTTGACGTGCTTTATTTGTGACAGTTTCATCGTCAATCCAAGTAATTTTTCAATTTTTTTTTTTTTTTTTTTTTTTTTTTTTTTTTTTTTTTTTTTTTTTTTTTTTTTTTTTTAGTTGCTACTATTTATTTCCAATTTTTTTTTTTTTTTGAAATCTCAGCATTTTTTTTATACAATATAATTATAATACGCGAAATTCGAACTTGGATTTTATAAAGTCTTTGAGCATTTTGTTGATTTTTTTATATCTTTAAAAGAGCTAAATAAACCGTTTTAAGATTTAAAATATTAATAAAATCACTTATAATTCACTAAATATAAATGTCCTAAAGCTAAAAATATAAGGAACTAATTCCCAACTGAATGTACAATCTTATTTAGAACTAAATTGCGTTTGTTTTATTTTAAATCATTTTAAGCCTCATGCGATATCTTAAATTAAAATGTTTAACTTGCATTTATGTAGCTCAATAAAATATTTATCTATTTTTTATTTTCATTCAAGAACATTAAAGTTAATTTTTTTAAAAAATTACACTATTGTGTTACTTGATGTGATAAAAAAACCATCACTCCCCCCCCCCGCCAAAAAACAGATATTTACATATAAGTTTTTTTTTTTTTTTTTTTTTTNTATATATAAAAAGGAAATGTCTCTTTTTTAATTAAAAAAAAACAAAACAATATTAGTTTTGTATTTTTTGGTTTTGAATGAACTTTAACATTTAAAAGAATTTAATTTTATGCAAATATATTACTAAGTTCACAGATGAAAGGGAAAAAAAAAGAATGAATTAAAAGAACTAAGACAATAATAAGAAAATTATTTGTTTTTTACTTTCATTCAAGAACATCACAGTTAATTTTTTGAAAAATGCACTTTTGCGTTACGTGATGTGATAAAAACTATCACTTTCCCCCCATTTATGTTTTTAAAAACCTGCTTTTTTATAGGAAGAAAATGTTTTTTTTTTAATTTTTATTTATTATTTTTTCATTATTAGTTTTGATTGAATTTTAGCATTTAAAAAAATTTATTTTATGTAATTATATTACGAAGTTGACTGATGAGAAGGAAAAAAAAAGAAGATAATAACAAAAATAATTATAATAATTCAACTCTATTCAAAATTCAAATATTTTTCTAAGTTGACTTATAAAATGAATTGTCGGAAACACTGCTATTAATGTAAAAAATTATCATAATTGCCATCAACATGTCTAGGTATTTGAGCAAGCTACCCTTTATTCAAACAAGGGTTGTGCACCCCCACTATTTGAAGTACAATAAATCTCTTTTTCTTTTTTTTTTAAAATTCACTTTGCAAATATAACCCTTAACTAAACTTTAAATATATTTATAATAAGATAGTGAGTTTCTCGTATTATTAAGATGAATTTCATTTAAATGTGGTAAGTTGTTAAATGTATATAATGTTCCAATTTAATACTTTCCTAAATTCCGCTTTTCCATCGCAATTATCAATTCCTTATTAATTATAAAATATATAAATTAAAATAAAATGAATGATTATAAATACCCGAATATATTTTCGTAGTGTTTTTGTTCCATATTAAAATTTAAGAAATTTAAGTTAAGCCTAAGATAGGGCTCATTTATAAATCTTCCAGGGAGGCTTGCCTAAATGACACTGCAAATAAATGCTTGGTTTCAGATAGTCTTCTAATTACTTAACGTCACCCCATGTTGATTACAACTATGCTTACGTGACATAATGGATCAAAGATAAATAATCATTAAAAAGTGTGCAACAAAGTCACAATGAAGCTTAGTTTTGATCATAAGTTAGTAAACATCTCTGGTGTTTTCTTTTGTACATGTAAAGGTAAAAAACAGACTACAGTTTAATTTTTTTTACAACGCGTAATAATCCTATAAGAAAAATTCATTTTTCTGGCGACCCTCTCGAACGCACAAATAAAAATTTTGAACGTTTTTTAAGACCAGGGGCTGCAATTTATTCATGCACCCAGTTCTCGAAATTTTAGGACGTTAGCTCAAATATTTTCTAGGTGTCCACAGAGGACTGATCGCAAAGACACGATTTCAAGCAGAACACCGATCAGGGGTCTGTTTAGAAGAAATTTGGGTCCGTTAACGGACCCTTCACGAAATATCTTTTCATAAAAACGGACCCTTCACAAATTTGTTTATCTTCATTATTGTTTTGTTTATCGAATAAACCCTTCCCGGGGAGGGGGGGGGAGAAAGGCAGATGCAAACGTATTAAGTTCTGTC